TGACTGTGTTTTGTCACCATTCAGAACCACCTCACTCAAGCTTACCCTAACCACAGTGTGAGAGTCTTGCCTATTTTTTGTGCTGCTTTTTTTTCTAAATTATTCTCTGGACATGTGGATTGCTTGATTATACCCTTCATTATGTGCTGTCATGTTCTTCCCAGTACTTGAAAACATAAGTATAGGGTAAAGTAGGCTACACAGTGGAGTTAGAGCAATTTGGGAACTCGATGAGATTGCACACCACTGAAGTAAGCACAAATGTATCAACTTTGTTGCCTGCCTCAGAACTATCAACCATACTTGCTGAATCTGCCCTGGTTCTATATGCCCTAGAGTGTATCTTGCACAGCACTATCTTGCTGGCTCTTGTAAATCATGCCGCAAAATTTTTACAAGAGCTTCGTTGCTTTGAAATTTTCTGTACTAAAATAAATGTTCTTACCCCTAGTGCAAGACCTCCAAAAGAGAGGGGCTTTTGACTGCCTACGTGCTGTTTTCTCCCTGAGCCACTGGTATTTTCGTAAGGCTACAGTGTTGAAAAGGCCTTAGTGAAAAAATTAACAGCTTCACCAGCATTAGATGGTTTTCCTCCATTGCGCCTGGGACAACTGTAGCTTCCTAATAATTTCCTATGTGTATAGGGAAGAGAGGTTTGAGAAGTAATAAATTGTGAGGTGAGATCAAAGAGCAAATTTTATCTGTAGTTATGAGTATGGTGTAGAGAGAGATAAAATACCTGACAGTATTGCTGTGCTGGAATAGTGATCGGTAAAAGTTGTTAATTATTATGTTTCTTACCATCAGTGTGATCTTCTATGTTCTAAAGCAGCAGAATTACAACACACAAAGTGAAAATCCTCTTGAGATTAACTTAATGTGACTTCAACTGGCTGTGCTTCTCATCAAATGACCTTATCCTGACACAAGCACACTGGACAGCATGGAACAGAAATTTATTCTTCTCACACCAATAGGAAAGGGAGGATCAAGGTTTAACTGTGAAATGGGAATGAAAGGCTTTAGAACCTTTCAGCTCCAAAGGATCTTGGTTCTGGTCTCAGTTTGTGTCCCAGCTTCAAGAATAAAACTTAATTTCTTTTTGGCAGTTGCTGAAAGAATTCAGAGAATGGAAATAGGAAATGAGGGCCATAAACTCTTTGTTACTCATTCTATCTCCCAGCCAGCCTCGCCCACAGCAACTCTGTGGGTAGTCTCATATTTAGGGTAGAAACCACCACAAGTTCCCTCCCTCTCCAAAGTCCTGATGGGCAGACAGTCAACACATTGCTGCAGGTTACAATTTCAAACACTTTCATTGAAGAATTAAAGCCCAACTTTATTCTTTTCTGGGTTAGTCTGCAGCTACCCACTCTTCACTTAAGAGGGGACTACACAACTGCTTAAAAATGTCAGGTCATTTCAGCTGTTGGTGTGTCCTATGTATAGCTGGATCAGTTCTGCAGAATATTCATGAATGCCAATGTAGTTGAAGAATAGCACTTCTTGTCATGTCCAGATGCTGGTACTGAGAAAGTCCCCTCCAGGAAACTGATGGTCAGCTCCTTTGGAAAGCAGGGACGCACAGATCCGCAAACAGTATGAAGAGGACACACATCTGAAAGCTGTATCTGAAACTTTAACTTGGACTTTTAAAAACAATTTGTGGATTTGTTGTTATTTTTAAAATACAAAATATTTTATTTTCTCTCTTAGAAATGAAATCTATTACTATTTCCCATAATCAAATTCCCTTTTAAAAGGAATACTGTACATGGCTCTGTAGGAAGCATGTTGCTGTCTCTACTTTAAAAACTAATATTCCTGTGCCAGTAATCTGTCGGTCAGGATATCGGCTTTTGGGATATGCCCTTGAGGATTTTCAGAGACACTGGAAAAAGGCAGCAATAAATTGTAACAATTTTAAACAGGATGGTGTGATGATGGTGCTCATTTGTGGCACATCCGTGTGTTGCAATCGGTTTACTTGCGGTTAGCAACCACAAGCAGCAGCCCAACTGTGAGGTTAGGAGCTATGTCCACCCTCAGCACGTCCGAAACCCCTCATGCAGGAGGGTTCGGTGCAGATGGGTGGGCGGGAGCCGTGGCTGCCGCGGCTCGGGGGATGCTCGCCCCGCCGCTGCCGCGCTCCCGTCGCCGAGCCTCGCCACGCTTTCGCTTTCACTTCTCCCGGCTCCGGGCAGTGTTTCCTCACGGTGAGCGTGTGCTCAGAAACCAGTGCAGAGGTGGGATGCTTCCGGACACAAGGGGATAAAGCCTGCAGAGGTGAGTGGGTAAAATTCTTCATAATAATAAATGTGAATATCGAGGTGCAAAGGCAAAGTGCTGCTCAGGAGTTTGGGTGAATTCCTTGATCCTGGATTTCTCTTAACTTGCAAGTCAGCTAAGTCAGTGCCAGTTTTTAAAGTTCTTGCTCATAATGTTAGAAGTCTATTTCTTTCTTTGCCCATCTGAAACGCTGTCCCTGAAGTTTGATAATGGGTGTGTTCTTTATTCACTGGACCCCCCCAGACAAAGCTAAAACACTTAAAGCTGATTCCAGATCCCTTGCAATGCAAAAACCAGGAAAAGGCACTCATTGGGCCTTGCTGGAAGTCAGCTAAAGAACTTGTTTTGTGTTGTGCAGTACATTTCTTCTGCCTCTCAATCTTAAAGGTGAGCTGGCAACAATTGCTGCAGAGCCCAGCAGCTGTCTGATCACCCTAACAACAAACCCTGAGAGTGATGCAGGCCAGGATGCAAGCTCCTGTCACAGCTAAACTTCCCTTTTGTTTTCCTTAGTGTTTCCAGCAGATGGGGTGCAAAGGAAAGTTGTAGGACAAGTGGTTCTTTATTTTCCTCAGCTACAGGGACATGGGTGCCATGTTTGGCAGCAGCTCTAGCAGGGCAGGCTGTCTGCAAGACCAAGAGTTTGCTGTCCCCTCTTCTTCCCCATTAACCAGTGGCAGATGAGTGGAGAGCTATGAGAGCTGAAGGATATAAGTCAGCCTGACATGCAGTACCCAACAAGGAAGTGTTTTTTCATTAAGGTTTATTTTAAACCAACTTTTGTAGTCCTTTGTATGTGCCTTTACAATGTTTTATGTCCCTCTATCCCTTGCTTGTATCCCCATTCCTACAGAATTATACAAATGTCTCTCCTTAGATGGCCAGGTTGCTTCCAAAAAGGCAGCCATGAGGCTCCCCTCTGGCCACTATAATGTGATGTTTTGTCACTGGAGCAGTCCTAATGCATGCCCTCTGAAAAGGCAGGTCAACTATGGAGACAAACTCTGCTAGGGTCTGACCTGCTAAGCTCCTGTTTGGCTGCAGGTTGCAGTGTCAATTCCTTAGAGCATTTTGTTATGCTAGTGGAAATTTGTCTCTTCAGAAAACATCAGTTATGAAGAATTTTTCTTTTTTTCTATACAAATGTGCTGGTTTAATTTCTCTTCTCATTTCCTGTTTCATTGTTTGCTAAAGTGCAATACTCCAATGTGCTCAAAGCTCAATAATATTAATTAAACACAGGTTCCTAGCAAAGGAAAATAGGAGGTGTAGAAGTAAGAAAGCTCATACTTCCCACGAGTTAGTCTTTTGAGCTCTTCTAGCTTCCTCTTAAGTCTAGGCAGGTTTATTCCCTTCTATAGCCTGCTCTGTACTGGGGCAGTAATAGCCTTCTCTGCCTGGGAGCCCATCCGCCTGAGACTGAACTCATTGGTAAATTGAGCTTGGTAGGTAGGTTTGTTGCTGTTATCCAAGTTTGTTGGCAGAAGGCCATACAGATATGTGTGTGTCAGGACTGTGGAGACATTTTGAGCAACAGGGTTGAAAGTATAATCTTTCTATTTTTTGAAAACAAAAAACTGAAGACAGGAACCTAAGCTTACTGTCCTCTGCTAAAGCATGAAAAAAACGTTCTGGCAAGCACTCACAAAGTGTGTTCTCCCTCTACTAAAGATTAATTCTGTAGAGAATAATATGGAAGATACAGAGGACTCTTCTTTTGATTAGAAGAAATGCCATTTAATTAGACAGGCTCTATGACTCAGACGGCTAGTCAAGCCTGGTCAGAATTTATATGGAATTAATTTTCTTCCTTGTGCAGTAAAGTTTCATTACAAGATCACCAAGTGAATTTAGATCTAATGGATACTAAATGGAACATGAGCAAAATATTAAAAAGCCTAAGATTCATTAAAAATGTAGTGACAAAACAGAGCCATTGAAAATTAGAGTTTAAATGTTGATATCCTAATCTAAGTGACCAAAAGATATGGGGTGGAGTATATAAATTCTAAATTGTGTACATTTTCCTGAAAGTATTTGCATAAATATATTGAATCTTTGGACACTTTGATTCTGTTCCATTTCTTTCTCTGATTAGGTTGGTACTGATTTATTTTGTGTGTTCTTACTTTCTCATATGTTTCTTTTCTCATATGTTTCTATAGCCTAGTATTCCTTCTTTCTCTAGAAGATGGAGCAACAGTTAGAATTTTGTGTGACTGGCTTTTAAAATAAAAATTGGCAAGAACAGTAAAAGAAAGAAGTGGTATATTATGTATTTTTACTGCATATAACTATTTTACATGTAATTAATTAATTCAGAGAACAATTACTAACATTGAGAGGCTTATGTACAATTTTTTATATTTATTGTATTTTATGAATGTTAAAGCAACGCAAAATTAATCAGAAAAGAGAAAGTGATGGGAAATTTTCATCAATAATAGATAAAGTTGGTAGCTTTTTGAACATATCTATTTTTATGTAAGTCAATATTATTGCTTTTAAATAAAAGTCTTTATTTAGAGAGATTATTAGACATAACTCATCTGAAGAAATGAATGCAGAAAAAATTTCATGGATTAAAAACACCAACTGTTTTCTCACTATGAAATCACATATTTTTTAAGCGTTGCTTGCTTAGCCTTCGGTTGAAGATGCAAGTTGTGTGAAAATGATTGTAATTTGCAGTGTTCATTTTGCCTTTGCAGGTAGAATGATGCGAAACGCTATTCTTTGGTGGAGTAGCTTATATGTCAGACTGATGTTTGTCTTCTGGCCGTGTGCATCAGCTGGAACACAATGTCATATCCAAAATGAAATGGCTGACTGCAGTCACCTAAAGCTGACTCAAATTCCCTCTGATCTTCCAAACAATATAACGAGTTTGGACGTTTCTCATAACCAGCTAAGACAGCTAGGCCCTGCAAATCTGACCAAGTACAGCCAGCTGGTTTACTTGAATGCAGGCTACAACAGCATCTCTAAACTGCAACCAGAACTGTGCCAAAATGTGCCCCTGTTGCAGATTCTGAAGTTAGAACATAATGAATTGTATAAGCTCCCTGACAGAGTCTTTGCTTCCTGCACCAACCTGACTGAGCTCAGTCTAGGCTACAACAGGCTTAATATAGAAAATGATAATTTCAAACCCCTGAAGGTAAGAGTTATAAATGCACCTTTTCATGTAAGTAAAGTATAAATTGTTGCGGTTGGGGTTCTTGTTGAGGTGAAGCAGGTGAAGAAGCACGAAGGGCCTTTGCAAGGGTTTCACAGAGATGTTTATTTCAGCCACGTGTGAGCACAGTCCTGGAGTTCAGAAGCAAAGGCATTGGTCTGGGACTTTGGGTTAGGTACATGGGGGTTTTTCCAGGGTGTGGTTAGGGCGTAGGGGCCAACAGGGAACCAGGGTGGGAGTGACCAAAAAGGCTGACAGACAGAGAGAAGGCAGGGGGGATGTCCTAAGGAACAGAACAAGGGTTGTCTTGACCTGATAGAACAGGATTTGTTATCAAAAGGAGATGACTGAGAGGCTTCTCCTATCTTTCTGAGTCCTTTCAAGGTCTCCACAATAAATGGGGAATTTACTATATTTTCCAGTGTGTTTTCAAAACTGCTGCCTTGGTATGTCAAAATACCCAACATATAATCTTTCACTGATTTTTGCTGAAGAAGAGGGCTTGTGGCTCCTTCTGTTATGGCACACTGGAGTCTCGGTCATCTTTGTGAGTCAATGGTCTCCATTCCTTTTTCTGTATTGCATCCCTTTGAAGCACGTCTCCATGCAGGATATGTGCTGAGCAAATAGCAGCAGCAGATGATGAGAATAGCTGCAAAGTGGATGGTGTGGAATCTGAGCTGCATGGTAGCCTAAATTTTCAAGGTTGAGGTTTAAGTATTCAAACTAGGAATACCAGTGCTTAGGCTGAATGTAGTGTCTCTCAGGACTTAAAGAACTGAGAAAGAGTGAAAATGTGTTTATTGTACCTTTGCTTTTTCTGGTAGTTTACGTGTGGTTAAATATTCTTGTCTGTAGCAGAGATTGGGGGACCACCACAGAAAGCAGGAAAGGACTATTTCACTGTCTTTCCACCAGGCAGGAATCATGCAAAAGGAAAAACCTAAGGACAAAAAAAGCAAAGTAAAGACAATGTGTATGTTAATTGTCATTCAGTGTTCTAATGAGTGTGCATGTGGTTTTGAGTAGGTCTGAACTTTTCTGTTAAACTCAGTATTCCAGTTCAGTTACATAAAGTGTACTTGCTTGCATTGTAGGACTGCTGACACAACTAAACACAAGTGAGTTCAGCCAGCTTCCATGCTGGGAACTTCACCTTCCTTACTCCATTTATGGGGCTGAAAAGATGTTTAATAGTGCAATAGTTGTAACTGCAGCCAGCTGTGGGCTTTTGCACTTATCACTTTATCTGAGGAAGGAAGGCCTTCAGTGAATTAAGGATATTTAACTAAATCTACTTTGGTTTATAGTAAATACTTTAGCAGGTTAATATCATTAATACCATGAAAGTTACTGGTGTGAAAGTTTCTTCCAGCAGGAGCTTGAAAGCTGCCATTTCTCTATTATAAATTTATTTTAAGGTTAGCATTACAACTAATTTCTAATGAATTATACTCTAATGAAATATTTATAATTTTTTTGGTGTATTATATTAAAAAAAATTATACTTTTTTTTCCTTGCATCTTCTCCCCAGAACTTGAATATTTTGGACCTATCTCATAATTCTTTGAAGTCGGCCAATTTAGGATTGAAGCAACAGTTGGAGAAACTCCGTGAGCTTATGTTGGGTAGCAACCAAATCACAGAGTTGAAAAAAGAAGACTTCAGTTTTCTTAGCAATACCTCATTGAATAGTCTTGATTTGTCCTCAAATCCACTAAAAGAGGTAGGAAGCATTTCAACAGAAATTCAACAGGTGTAAGTATAAAATGGAACTATCCTGATTTACCCTTTATGGTTGTATGGCATTTACAATACAATTTTGACCCACTGAAGTCCAAAACCCATTCTATTTCATACACCATTACTCCTGACCTCCAGCAGATATTTACAAAATTCTTTTGCCACTGAAATCAGCACAGGCTGGTTTCATATAGGCTGGTTCCATGTAGAACAGAGGTCTCAAGCAAGACCTAAATCAAGATGCTCTAAGAATCTTTACCAAGTATTTTCTGTGCAGAACTTTATTTGCATGTGCTGAAGGTGAAGGGCTGACACACTTTCTCAGTGGGTGAAAAGTGTAGTATTATGCAAGTCTGGTTATACAATCTAAGTTTCACTTCCCAGTTTATCAAAGAGAGCTTTCACTTGTGGCTATGGGAACCTCAGAGAAATAATCATTCTAGCAACATATACTCACTCACTCCTTTAAAATAAACATGTGAGTGCTTTGTCTTCCATCTACTTCACTGTGCTCTCTGACCTGCTTCTCAAAGTTAGGATTCTTTGAATAGTGATGGTAAGTGTGGCAATTATAAACTGGTTGACCCTTAGCATACAAATACTGAATATGTATTGAATTTCCTTGGTTTATTTGGTTTTTGTTTGCTTCTTTTGCTTTGTTTCCCAGTTGATTGATCTCTAAAAATATGTATATTGAACCTACAAGAATAAGGTGGTATAAGTTTGTATCAGTGCTGAGTGAATCTGATCATCCTCTTTTGCTTGGACACTTCATCCGTCTCTCTTTCCGATACCAGCTTTTATGAGGCCATGTGCTGGATCACTGGGCAAACTCTACAGTGTTTTGGCTTGGTTAGCTTGTGGTCACACTGGTTCCCTACCCAGTGCACTGTGTGACTGCATGTAGGGCTATTCTGGCACAAGGGTACAGGGTGTGGATGAGTAAATGACATTACTCCTTTCTTGGCACTGCTGCTTGTGCTTTCAGCTGTTCAGCTGTTCTGGTGTTACAGTACTGCTATCTAAAAAGTAGCCTTATGCATTTGAATCATTCTGACAAATGGAGTATTTAACCCCTCAACTGATATCTTAATCAAGATGAGGGGCCAGCTCTATGATAAAAGCTTGTGATCCATATTGTGAAAGCAAGTGTGTAGTATTAGATTTCATAGTAGCTTCTGCTTGCACAGAGAAACTGGATTTCTTCTTGTCTGTCCGCAGACCTAATAACTAGTAAATTAGTATGCCTAGCAGATACCCATAACAGAAAGCTGAAGAAAAATATAAGAAAATTTAAGATACTTCTAAAGAAGGAGTTTTGGTCATTGGATACAAACTTGAATCTCACTGAGCTGCTTTCTGTCTTCTAAAATAATACTACTCAGATTCATGCTAATCATGTTATAAATGATAGAACTATTGTCACAAGAAGTGTAAACTCCAAAACGTGTTTGTCTGAACATGGCTGTGAAGCAGTCTGGGTGTGAAAGTTCTATTCTGCTTGAAAATCTCATTTGATAACATTTCCAAGCTTTTGTTTTATTGACCAACTTTCTTACATAATCCCCTTGTTTAGGTCAAGACATTTTTTTTTTTGTCCTTTCAGTTTCATACAGGATGTTTCCATACAATTGGAAATCTGTTTGGCCTCATACTGAACAACGTTGAACTTGGTGAAAATCACACAAAGAAACTTTGTACGGAATTATCAAACACAGCGATTCGAAACCTCTCACTGAGCCATGTGAAACTTTCCTACATTGGCAAATCAACTTTCCAGGGACTGCAAGGAACAAATCTTACAATTTTAAACCTTTCCCAAAATTCTCTCTCTGCCATAGAAAATGACTCCTTTCAGTGGCTTTCAAGTTTACAGTACTTAAACCTGAAACTTAATAAGATTCACGTATCTTCGCGTTTATTTTATGGATTATCCAGCCTTAAACATTTGAATCTCATCAATTCAATTACTGGGAAAATTGAAGATTTTTCTTTTCGTTGGCTATATCATCTAGAGTACCTTATAATGGATAATAACAATTTTCCAGGAATTACTGCTAATACGTTTACAGGTCTGAACAACCTGAAATATCTGAGTCTCTGCAACTGCAACATAAACTTACAAAGAATAACTAATAAAACATTTTCATCGCTTGCTAATTCTAGCTTACAGGTTCTCAACCTCACAAAGAACAGAATCTCTACAATAGAAAGTGGGGCATTTTCTTCCCTGGGACACCTGAGAATTCTTAGTCTTGGTCTCAATGAAATTAGTCAACAGCTTACGGGTCATGAGTTTAAAGGTCTCAATAATATACAAGATATTTATCTTTCCTATAACAAAAACTTGACTTTACAAAGTGAATCATTCATTTTTGTCCCAAGCCTTAGAAAACTGATGCTGAGGAAAGTAGGCTGCAGTAATCTAGCACTTTCTCCTTCACCTTTTCATCCTCTACGAAACCTGACTATCCTGGACATCAGTAATAACAACATAGCAAACATAAAAGAAGACTTGTTCGATGGACTTGACAAACTTGACATCCTGGATTTGCAGCACAATAATTTAGCCCGGCTTTGGAAACATGCAAATCCGGGTGGTCCTGTTCTTTTTTTAAAAGGTCTTCCCAATTTGCAAATTCTTAATTTAAAATCAAATGGGCTTGATGAAATTCCAGTTCAGGTTTTCAAGGGTCTGTTTCAATTAAAACACCTGGATTTAGGATCGAATAATTTGAATTTGCTTCCAGCAACTGTGTTTGATGACCAGGCCTCTCTGAGTTCATTGAACCTTCAGAAAAATCTGATAACCTCAGTTGAAGAAAAAGTATTTGGCCCACCTTTCAGAAGCCTGAGAAAACTAGAGATGGATTCCAATCCTTTTGACTGTACCTGCGAAAGCATTGCTTGGTTTGCTGATTGGCTTAATGAGACCCAAGTAGATATACCTGGATTGAGGTCTCAGTACATTTGCAACACCCCGCCTAAATATCATGGTAGTCTGGTTTTGTATTTTGATAGTTCAGCCTGCAAAGACAGTGCTCCATTTAAACTTCTTTTTGTGATCTCTGCCACTATGGTGACACTCCTCATTTTTATTGTCCTTACCATCCATTTTGAAGGGTGGAGAATAGCTTTCTACTGGAATGTTTTAGTCAATCGAATGCTTGGTTTTAAAGAATTTGAGAGACAACAGGAACCGTATGATTATGATGCCTACATTATTCATGCAAAAGAGGATAAGAATTGGGTGTCCAAAAATTTCATGTCTCTGGAAAAAAATTACCACTTTGAAATTAAGTTTTGTTTAGAAGAACGGGATTTTGAAGCAGGTGTATCTGAATTTGAAGCCACAATTGACAGCATAAAAAGGAGCAGGAAGACTATTTTTGTTGTGACTGAACATCTCTTACAGGATCCCTGGTGTAAAAAGTGAGTAGGATCTAAAATTTTATCTGTAAGGGGAAAAACGGATATTTTAGCAAGATCGTTTTTAAACTGTAGTTTAATAAAAAATAGAATTTAATGAAAAATACCCACACAAAATCTACTTCAATGTATTTACCTAATATATTGCTACTTCAGAATAATTTCTAAGTTAATGAAGTTAATTGTTTCACACATACGTTAGTGTACATTTTATTATCTAAGTCAATGTTTTAGGCATTTTCTTGGGTATTTTTTGTGGTTTGTTTGAGTTGTTTGTTTGGCTTTTTTGTTTATTTGTGTTGTTTTTTGTTTGTTTTTGGTTGTTTTTTTAAAAATTTGTTAGGTTTATTGTTTTTGGGTTGGTTTGGTTTTTTGGTTTTTTTTGGGGGGGGTGTCTTTTATTTTGTTTGATTGGGCTTTTTTTCCAGAAGTCAGGCTGCCACCTTTGCAGATTGTTCTGCTTAAAATTACACATTTGAAGATGAGCAACAATGAGTAAGACCACTAGCATCAAAAGATGATTTTTGTTTGTCTTTAAATTAGTCTTTTCACCATTCTTATATAATGGTCTCGTCAAGAAAGGGATTTTGCTAAACAAGGCTGTATCAAGACAGTAGACTTAGGTTATATTTTTAGAGCAATGTTATTTTTTTAGTAAGAGGCAAATAATGAAAGAAAAATAATAACCATTGTATATCACAAAATAGACATTAAGACCCCTGTCAAGAACTGTTTGTCTTTTCTTTTTTTTTTTCACATAAAAGAAAATATTGATTTTTGTCTTTTTTTTTGCTTCAGTTTCAAGGTATATCAAGCTCTTCAGCAAGCTGTTGAACAAAGTCGGGACTCCATCATACTGATCTTTCTTGATGATATCCAAGATTACAAGTTGTATCATGCACTTCAGCTGAGAAGAGGAATGTTCAGATCTCGCTGCATCTTGAACTGGCCAGCCCAGAGAGAACGAGTCAGTGCATTTCATCAGCAGTTAGTGATGGCACTTAAATCTAAAAGTAAAGTGCACTGATTTTTGAACTACAGATTTGAATTATGGGGTCATTTTTATCATCCTGTAAATATATAAGAGTCACTGTCATTTAAATTTATTTGTTTATATTCATGTTTTCGCTGATATTTTAATTCAGCTGCACTGAAGTGACGTTAAAAGAGATTATGATGGCTAGTCCTTTCCATCAGTGTATTAAAAATGTGGTAGAAATTCTGAAGAGCAATGAGAATCACTGATGTTCTAGGAAATAATGAAGAGTAGAAAAGACATAAGACTCTCTAAGGGGATATACGTAAGAAAATGCATTAATGATGAAACAAGAAATTATTTGTAGAAGGTAGAGTGGACACTACTACTTGCTTTTGAAATATGGGGGATTCAATGCCTCAAACTGGAAAGCTTTCCTTGTGAAACACAGTAAGTAACACAGAAAATTACTTCTGTAATTCGAACCAAGAAATATAGCCTTTTAAAAGTGAGTTTTAAAACCTTTGTGATTATGCCTTCTGGGGATGCTAATACTGGTTGGTATCAAAAAGTGACTTTCAGAGTGATGAGTCAAATGTATTTAATAAATTTAGTATAAGGAAAACATTTTTTTTGCTCTTTGGTGAAATTCAGAGAGCTGGCAGGACGTTAATACTGAGAGATGTCACCTTGATTCTTAGAATGCAAAACAAAACTGTATGCCTGTACAAAGAACTTGAAATCAATGTGAAGCATGGCCAAGGCTGTATAAAATGAATAAAGGCACAGATATTTTTATAATATGTTGGATCCCAGAAACCTGGGATTTTTGAGCTTTCTGAGCTTTCTGGCATGAGCCCCTGGAGAACACTGCTTTTGACGTGAGGCCTTGGAGAAGTCTTCCAAATTTGAGTGATGGAGTCAAAGTAATGGGTGTATAGTTAAATAGAAGTGTGTGATTTCACATGGTAAAGGGTTTTGAATTTGAGGATTTTATAATACAATATAGGTATGGGACAAGATGGAGGATTTTGGGTGGTGTCTTTTTTTGGTGTTCATCTTTTGTTTCTAGTTGGACAGTTAGTGCTCCACTGCAGTCCACAGGAGTTTAGTTATTGGGTCAAAAGTATAAATAATATAGGTGTTAATTCTCTATGGGACTGTTTAGCTTTAAGAGACCTTGTAGCTAGCTAAGTTCACCTCCGTTTTGCTCACTTCTAGCTGGTAGCTGGAAGTATTGCTGAACTCTGTACTTTAGATAAGATTTAATAAACAACCAAGCCTGAATGCGAGAAAATTCATCTCCTTCATTTTTTTAATCCTGGCTCTGAATGAAGACAGAAGAAACTTCAGACAAGCCACTAATTAAGTGGTGCAAGAAATACCACCTGTTACAATAATATAACGAGAAGACAACTTTGTGGAGAAAGTGGTGCTACAGAAATTTCATTACCAAAAATTTTCTTACTAGTGAAACAACAACAACAAGAAGAAATAGTTTTAAATAGTATGAGAAACATTATTGTGAGTATAGCTAGAGTGGGAAAAAATTTAAAAACTAGATTAATTTCAATTTTTTTGTTTACTTTTATACACAGTTTTGCCGTTGATAGCTAAAAGGAAAACTTAAAGAAATCAGATAGAATTCTGTAGTTTAATTTCTTGCATATTAACTAGTTTGATTTTTTCCTGAGCATATTTTACAGAAATGTGGGCTAGATGGCAATTGCTAGGGCATTAAAGTTGAAACATATGGACTAGCAGCTTGATCTGCAGAGAGAGATGAGACTGAGCAAAAGGTGCTTTGCAAGGGCGTTTATATTGTTTAGCACAGGCTAAGATGTTATGGTGAGTCTGAGCACAAATTATTGTAAATTAGACACAAGGCAGTCATTTGTATATTTTTGTTAATATTTAATTGCTGCTTCAATGACCTTTTAAAACTTTGTCAGCTTCTAGTAGGTATGTGATCCTTCAATAGGAATATTTTTAAATTGCTTTTTCCCCCTAGCATTTCTCTCATCAACTTCAATATCACTATTGCTACAAGAAAGCCGCTCTACTGCTTTAGAAAACAGTTCTATACTCAAAATTTTAAAACAGCTTTTCTCATTATTTGCTATATCTATGGATAAAAAAAACATTGGGTTTTAACAGGTTTCATATGTCCCATGATGATAAAAACCTAAACAAGACAAATAATTAGTGAAATAAGATTTTTCATGCACTGGAATAGTGAAGGGGATGCAGGTATGTTCACTTGCTTGGGAAGTCCTGAATGAAAACAAACCAGGCTTTGTTTACAGCTGAAGTGATAGATGATGATTCCCTAATTACAGTAATAGGATTATCCTCATTGTGATGCTTTCATCTCATCTTTCTGACCTTTTTGGGCGAAGTGACAAATTCTTTCTTCGTGCTTAGGCCATGAAAGTTGAGGAGGCAAGTTGGTAATTATGATATGCCAGGTATGCACCATGTCAATTGTTCTTTCTCTTATTTAAAGACTAACATGTGACCGGGTTTCTATCCTAAACCTGCAATGACACATAGCAGCAGAATTTCTCTTTCTACATCAATATAAATTGTTTAGAAAATGCTAGTAGTTCACATGGATATTAAAAATGACATAAAGATGAAGAGAATGCATGGAGAAATACTGTGATGAAACGTTATACAAGACATCAGACTAGATGATCAAAAGGTCTTTTCTGACCCTTAGAGCCTGACAAGTAACAGCATGTCTAATTCCTAAAGATTTTTCTAGTTAGTACAGAAGCCCCTCAAATCAGTATTCAGAACAGCGAAAAAAATGTTATGAATGCTTACTTTTGTAATACAGCTAGGAATACAAACAAGAAGTACTTGGTGATGAATGAAAAATCCCTTTAAATCATAAAAATATGACGAACACATTCTAAATAGTTATTTTGGTACCTAGATTCAGTTTAAAATAATATATCACAGTAAAAGACATTATATAGGTTCACAAAGAGAATGACTAATGTATTAAAAAAAGGCACAAAAGTAATAATCACAGGGCCACTGGTAAGCATCAGTTATACCAGACCTAAAATTTTCCTATAAATTTTCCCTGTTTTTCTGAAACGTACCTATTTCTGCTCTGCACCTGTGATGTGTTTGACAATTTTATTGAGAGTAAATAAATGTACTAAGAATTGTAAATGTTTTCAGGATTCACAGTCTATGTCTGAGCTGGCCGGTCTCTGCAGTGGGCAGCATCAGATTATATTACGCTGATTTGCTGACGAGTTGAACGCCAAAGAAATGAAAAGTAGTTCCAAACTTGTAATGTCAAAGATGTTGTGTAAGACAAAAGAGAAACTGTTTGTATTGAAAGCAGAATATGTAAAGGACTTAAATGAGGCAGAATGCTCAAGTCTGGAGATTTGGAGTGGAACATGACTGTTTCTGCAGATCTTAAATGACAAGATGTCATGGTTTAGGAATAGTATTCCCCAATTTAGTGTTCTAAACCATGCACTGCTGCTTACTCCCTCCTCCATCCCGCTGGAAGGCTGGAGGGGAGAACTGGAGGTACAAAAGGGATCATGGGTTGAGATAAAAACAATTTACTTGAAAAAGCAATGACACAAAACCCAAACAGTAACGAGCAATATTAATAACAGAGTGTACAAGAGAGGTGATCTATTCACATGTGAGTTCTTACCACATGGAATAGGACCAGAAAGAACTACTGCTCTTTGTGCTTGATGTGAGGTGATATAGAATAACCTCAGGGTCCTAGGCATGCCCCTTCTTGCTACTGCAAACATTAACCCTGTCCTGGCCAGAACTCCAAGCAAGTTAAGAGACATTGATGTTCATATATATATAGCTGAGATAAACATACCATCCAGTAGTGAGCTCAATTGTGTTACTTTCCTGTGGCTCAGTCAGGGCTTTTATACCATGGTAGGTATAAATTCAGATTGTGTTGCTTTTAGACTTAAATGCACCTAGTCCATAAGGTTTTGTCAAAACATATTTATTCTAGTTTGTAAGAAAAAAGCCAGGAATATCCCAGTTTCAAATCTCAGTCTTCTGCTTGGTGTTCTGTGTGTTCTCTCTCTGCCAGCTCATTGCACTCCTTGATGTGCTAGGAAGACAAGGCAGGGATAAAATTCCTTGCTTTGTACTCTTGGTTGTTGTGAACCAGCAGCTGTCAACTTAAAATCCATAGTACAACTAGTTGCTTTATGTGGGATCCTGGGGCTTATATGTAAAAAGCAACTGGGCTAACTTTCAGCCTGTGCTGTTCTTTTGGGCACTCCAAGGGCCAAATGACCTGTCGTGTTCTGAGCTGGCACAATGTTTGCCTTGTCCATTATAACAAGCATTACAGTGTTCCCAAACCACTGCTGGTGTGGTTTCTCTTCACCCAGGCAGACACCCAATGTTGAAAAGCTAGGGCAAAGTTAGTAATTCCCAACTCGTGTGCCCCCAGCTGTCCGGCTTGTACCACTGACACCACTGACACCCTCTACCGCTCTCCAAACTGCCTAGGATGGTTTGGGAGTGTCTTTAGCAGCACTTGAGTTGTCGTTTGTACACTATTCCTTTCTGAGTCTGCCTGGCATGGCGTTAAAGACGTGCTGGATTCGGTCGCTCTCACTCCCGTCTTCTGTTAAGCCCTTCCTATGCACAGGTGTGTGGGGAGTGCTCTGCTGCCCTGGCAGGTTGGCTTCGTTTCTGCCCCTTAATATTAGGTGGGGTTCTAAGGGCAGGGGAAAGCGCACGCTGCGTTCTCCCGGCTCGCCGGCCGCGGCAGGGTGCGCGGGCTGAGCGCGGCTGCTCTCGGGCCTGCCGCCGGCGCGGTGCTCCCGCCCAGGGCGCTGCGTGCCCCGCGGGGTTTGTTTCGCTTAGCAACGCCTGCCGGGCCGCAGGCAGCTCCCGCCAGAGGCTGCCGGCCCCTCGACAGGGCTCCCGGAGCGCCTGCCATGAAGGTGGCGGCCCCGGGGGCAGGAGCCCCGCTCTGCCGGATGGGCCGCGCCCCGCCGGCGCCCAGCCCGCGACCCTCCCCTGGCGGG